GTTCTTATTGGTCGGGGGTGCTGCTGCGTCCTGATTGGCCGCAGCTTTGTGCGCAGCGGCCTCATTGGTTGATTTTTTATGCGCTGTGTCCTCACTGGATGGATTTTTGCACTCTGGGTCCTCATTGGTTGGTATTCTACGCCCTGAGTCCTCATTGGTTGATTTTTTATGCGCTGTGTCCTCATTGACTGGGTTTTCATCCTTGTTGGCGGGAGATTTGTGTCCTGTGCTCTCATTGGCTACCTGTGGCTCCTCGCTGTCATTGGTCACCCCCTGTGCCTCTGCGTCCTGATTGGCTGAGCCGCAGCTCCTCCTCCTCTCATTGGACGAGCCTATTGGTGTGTCCCCATCGGCTGCGGCTCTGTCCTGATCTTGCTGCCCATTGGCTGCTGCTTCCTCGGCCTCTGTGCTCTCATTGGCTGCTCCGCGAGGGGTCGCTTCCCCATTGGTCGCTGCCGTTTCTTCCATCTCTCCCTCAGCCAATCGGATCCCCCTGGGGGAAAGAAAAAGGGTGTGGCCTAAACATGTTGTTACGTCACTTCCGTCCCCGCCCCCTCGCGGTTGCTTTGGCCACGTCACTTCCGTTCCCTCCCCCTCGCCGTTGCTACGGCACACGTAACTTCCGGTCGCTCCCTCCCCTCAGCCCCCCCCCGTCGTTGCCATGGCGACCGCGCTCGCTGCCGCGGGTTTCCCGGGGCCTCCGTTACCGGCTCGGGAGCTCGCGCTGCTCCTCCCGGGACCGGAAATCGCCGCCGGGGCCGAACCGGGCCCGGAAATCCTCGGGCGCCCCTTTAAAAACCGCGGAGGGGAGGGGAGGGAGGGGGGAAAGGAACCGTGAGGCGACCCGGAAGCGGCGCCGCGCGCATGCGCCGGAAAGGAGGGCGGGAATTCTCCGCCCTCCCATTGGCCGGAGGGGGAGGAGGGAGGGCGCTGATTGGTTGAGAAGGGGAGGGGGCGGGGCTGAGCGGCGTGAGGGAAGGAGGAGCGGGGGGAAGATGGCGGCGCTGGCGCCGGAGCTGCTGGTGCAGCTGGACCCGGGGAGGTTCCGGGCTGACAATTTGCTGGGGGCCGAGGATTGGGGTGAGGCCTGGGCCTGGCGGGGGCGGGGAGGGGGCGCTGAGGGCGGCGAGGGAGCGGATTCCGCGCGCGTGGGGGGAGATAAAGGGGCGGGGCGCCTCTTAGGGGCGTGGCTTGTTAAGCAAATTATTTAAATGAGCCCGGATTGCTGCGCGGGTTGCTTGGTTTGAATCATTTAACGGAAGGGGAGGGGCTTAACGGGGTGTGGCTCGAGTGTGGGCGTGGTTTCGGCGCTGACCACGCCCCCTTTTATGCAGATGACGCCCTTTACGGTTGCCTTGACGACCGCCTTGACCCCGCCCACCTCTTCCCCTCCCTGGAGCCCGACCCCTTGGTAAGCCACGCCCACTTCGTTCAAACCCCGCCCGTTTTGGGGGGCGTGGTTTCGAGGCCACGCCCACCCCGGGGGGAGGGGTCCCCCAAAATCCGCCCGTTCCCCTCCCCCAGCTCGATCGTGCCTTCGATGGGGGGGGCGGCGCCGGCACCCCCGACCCCCCCTGGCACCCGGAGCCCCCCCGGGCCTGCCCCGGTGAGTTCGGGGGGGTTTGGGGGGAATTTTGGGGGGGTTTGGGGGGTCCTGAGGGGGTTTAGGGGAGATTTGGGGGGGTTTGGGGGGTCCTGAGGGGAT